CTCGTGTACAGTACAGTTATTGTGGCAGTATAAACCAGCACAGTAACCATTATGTAAAGAGTGTTGACACAGGGTTGTCAAAAGAAAATCGACAATCAGATACTAATGATAAGCAGTATCAGAGCGAGTATAAGAGCACAGAGATTAGGGCTGCTATGGAACCTACCAGGACCAAAAAAGAAAGTGCAATGATTTAATATTCAATAAAGTGTATTTCATTATTATATATATCTTTTTATTATCATCATGATATCAGAATAGTAGTAGTAGTAGTGGGTCATTTTACAGCACTACAAAACAAAAACAAAACAAAACGTAGACTACAATCCCATAGATCTTGACTGAAAATGTTTAGGCTGAAGTTTAATAGGGTTTGGCATTATAAGAACTTTAAACAATGACATGATTCCAAGAAAAAAGCAGCGTATGAACAGCAAGTTTATATTTACAATTTCACTTATGACTTACTGTATATATAAGAGACAAAATATAAATTAAAACAAACAAAATCTGGTTTTAAACCTGGTTTAGTCCTAGTTTAGTCCTGGTTTTAGACCTGGTTTTAGTCCTGGGTTTAGACCCGGTTTAGACGTGGTTTAGTCCTAGTTTTAGACCTGGTTTAGTCCTAGTTTTAGACCTGGTTTAGTCCTAGTGTAGTCCTGGTTTTAGACCTGGTTTTAAACAAAACATAGACAACAATCCCGTAGATCATGACCGAAAAGATTTAGGCTGAAGTTAAAAGTACTTATAATGCCAAACCCTATTAAACAATGACATGATTCCAAGAAAAAAGCAGCGTATGAGCAGCAAGTTTATGTTTACAATTTCACTTATGACTTACTCTATATATAAGAGACAAAATATAAATGAAAACAAACACAATTTAATGCTTAGTAATTCATTCCAGAGCTCTATATCTTTCAAAACATGACACTTTATACCCATTTTTAAAGGCTTCTACTTTTTAAAAAAACATCTCTCAGGTTGTTTCATACAATAACCCCTCGAACAGAAACACAATCACGTTTTTTCTTAGTTCTTATCTTCATTTTTTTTAAAGATACCTGTTCCTCTAAGGTTATACTGACTCTCTGCTCAGATAACTCGTGTAAACAAGGAGGAAGCTGATGATTATAGGCCTTGTACAGTTCAGTCAGTTTTGAGTATCTATTGAGTCTATGCCTAAACTTTTCCTAAAATTCCAAACTCAAAATTGACTGTTATTGTTACACTAAGACATAGATCAGGGGTGTCCAACCTTGCAGCTCGGGAGTTACCGGTAGCTCTCCACCCTCTTCCTCGTAGCTCGCCAAGGGATTTTTGAATTACACGTATTGTCCTGAATAAGTAAAATGTGATTAATTAAATGCCTTTTACCATTGTTTAAGTATCATTTTGATGCTTAACTTTGTACATAATGGTTTGTTTTATATCTAACTGTATCTCATTTAAGGCTCGCCGTGGCACTGCTAAAAGTTGTAGGCCTGATTCATCAGCGGGTTTCACTTCATGGAAACCGTCTGACCTTAGGCATTAGGATTCGTTCGCTCGACGGTAGGCGGGCACTTGTGGCCATACCGGCTTGTCAATGCCCGGTCCCGTCTCAGAAGCTAAGCAAGACTGGGCCTGGTTAGTACTTGGATGGGAGACCTAGACCATCGTTGTGTCCTTAGGCAAGACACTTCACCCACATTGCTTAGTGTGAAAGTGGTGTGTGCGTGAGTGATGGTGGTGGTCGGAGGGACCGATGGCGCAGATTGTCATGGCAGCCGCGCTTCCGTCAGTGTGCCCCAGGGCAGCTGTAGCTCCAATAGTAGCTTACCATCACCACGTGTGGAGAAAAAGAATAATGAATCTATAAAAAAATGCTCTGTAAAGCGTGACATATGTCTGTGAAAAGCGCTCTATAAATAAAGACTTACTTACTTTTTAATTTTACCAATCGCTGCTATTTGGTCGTGACAAATGTAATGCACCAAAATCCGTAGGAAGAAGGGCAATAAAGTCTTTCCCCTTGATAAAATTCACCAAACATTCTCTTTGTTCCGACTTTAAACCCTCAATCTCGGGAATCGTTGCCAACACAGAATGTCCGTCTTCGTCTACATCCATCTCAACACTTTGTTTACTGTTGTGCTGTTCCACAAAAGGGACCCAGACAGACGCTTGAGTTTGACGTTTGATGGCTTCATGTCTCTTCACTGATTGGCCAGTGTGCGGTCTACAACTTCTGGGGTTCTTGTAAACAGTCTAGTGTATTCTGATTCCTGAACTAGTCGCTGGAGAGAAATTAAATTGAGTGGAGGCACTAGATGGCAATGGACAGGCTAAAAAGTAGTAGCTCCTTGGCATTTTTGGATTTTTGGAGACCCCTGAAATAGAGCTTTATTTGGATCGTTTTAGTGTCTTTTGTCAAACTTTTGAAAATGCAATATGGACATTAATTGCACAACAGTGAACGGAAACCTCTTATCACATCTATAAACCTACCCACCACTTCGGACATATCAAATGATTTTATTGCGGGCCCGGTATCACCCGTCCCCTGCGTGATACGAGAGTTGTGAATCAGCTGCAGAGCCACATGGTCAGTGGCCGTTTCACTGTGGTTAAACATACACCGTAAAGATCAGGAGACGGCCCGGCTACTCAACAACAAACTGCATCCATTCAACGCAGACGGATCTATTTTTAGCGGCATTTTCGTCACTTTACAGACGGGTCGGTCATAGGTAACGGAATGTCTGGCGACTGACTAGAGGAGCTTTCACACGGGTGACGCTATCAGCAAAAAAATCTGTGTGCTAAACGTACCAGTAAATGTCGTGGTTGAGCATTGCAGGAAATGTGAATGGGCTAAAGGATTAAAGAGAGGATATTATGAAACGTGTATATTTTTTGATTTCTACAATGTTTTATGTCATGTATGTTTGATCTTTCCTTGTTTGAACCCTTAGCAGTACCATCCTACCCCTCTTTAAACACAAAATTACACCTTACGCCCTTGTTTGGAAGATTACACATTTATTTGACAGCTCTTTGACAGCTTTTCTTTTCTTCACTAAACGTACATTTTAATATCTTGCCAATATTTCAGCCGTAGCGAGCTTTCACAAACTCTGTATTGTGGTACTGTGGGACCAAAACATTTTTCTTTCCAGTGAAAACTTTGGCTTAGTGGATGGAGTTGTCATGAAATTTTCTGATTCTTGGAACTCTTGTTTAGGATCTGGTGAGTTTACAATAGAAAAGCCAGTTCACTGAAATGGCCTTGGTTTTGACTTTTGCTCTGTGCGTTTTTTGACTGTTGAAGCTCTGTGGGCCGACTCATGTAAACAAAAGCTGTGTTGTCGTCAACCATTTGATTAGGGCTGGGTATCATCAAGAAGTTGCCGATACGATACATACCTCGATACATAGGCCACGATACGATACATACCTCGATACATAGGCCACGATACGATACATATCTCGATACAGTGCACTTTCGATTGGATAAGATATAGTTTAAATCGATTCAATACGGTTCAATAAAAAATAAAGGTTAAATCATGCCAAAAGTCTTTGTTAAACCACTTCTTGTGCAAAGTTCATACTTAACGCACCCATTTTAAACATCAAAACAGTGAAAATATCAAATGTGTTGCATTAATGAGCTTCCTTCCTCTGAACAAGCAACAAAACTGTAGCGCTTCACCAAAATAATTTAGTAAAATAAACCAAAAATATACTCGATATGGCAGTCCCCGATATCGACACTGTATCATCACATTAAACCATATAATATATCGATATTTCAGTATTTTTGCACACTCCTACAGGTGATCTAATCGATAATTAAAAAATCTGAAGGCTCCTACAGTTTTTAGATACCCGGAAGAACCCCCAAAGGAATGTAATTGTAACACCCATCCAAGAATGACTTGATTGATTGATGTTTTGATTTGCAGGGCATGTGGTATTATTAATGTTCTATACCACTGATTTTAATAGGATAGCAAAATAAAAACACCATTTTGAGTTTGTAGTTTGTAGATCATGCAGACAAATCCTTGTTGTTTTGTTTATTAACAAGTATTACTAGTCTACATCTAATTTCCAGTTTCTAAAGTTCACGAATGTAAATTGTTGTCACCCACTATATATTTGGTGCGTTAATGTCTGGCATAACATTTGATTTAAGACAGGGGTCATCAAACTAAGGCCTGCGGGCTGACTTCGGTCCTACACACCCCTTTGACCGGCCCCTCTACCCCCACCACTTGAACTGGCCCTGTGAGACAATCCTCAAAAGTTGTCATGGCCTATTTTTTTAACTTACTTTTTGGCAAACAATAACTCATCTGCATCTTGTGTTTTGTTGATTTTTTTGTTTTTTTTTTCAATTAAAAATTATATTTATATGAAGTATTTATATATGTTTACACTTAAATAATTATATGACATATTTACATTTGCCGCCGAATATTCGTCGACGCACGCACAGATTTCTGTAGTGCAGTTAAACACAACAAAATGGCAAGTGTTAAAGTACAAAAAGTCAGAGTGCCGAGTTTTCAAAGAACAGTGGACAACCGATTATTTTTTTGTTCAGTTTAAGGACAGTGCAGTTTGTCTAACATGTAAAGAAAGTGTAGAGATTTTCAAAGAATATAATCTGCGTCGTCAGTGTCGTACAATTCTGTTATACGGCCGACCCGACTCAGGAGCAATAATGTGACCCCCAGAGAAAGTTTGGTGACCCCCGATTTAAGAAGTTACGATGGTGCTAATCTCTAACATTAATAATCTACGCAAAGCAGTGCTACAAGTGGTGATATTTTGTACCGAGGCTCTGGCGTTGCTCACGTGTGGTCGAGTCATTCGCCAAAACAGCCCTGATTTTTCATACTTTGTCATGTTTGTTTCACAGTAACATGTAACACAAATGGCCCGAGTGGTCAGAGTAATAATGTGGTTCATGCCTGAGACTAAAGTCGTACCTTCCTCTTCCTCCACAGTGACAGTTATGCGCGTGTGAGAGCAGTGGTCATGACTCGGGATGACTCCAGCGGCGGATGGCTCCCCCTGGGGGGTGGAGGGCTCAGCTGCGTCACCGTGTATAAGGTGAGCCAGCGGGACGACAGCGGCAGCACCCACAGCGGAGGCAGCAGCGGAGGGAGCAGTGCCAACCTGAGCCCGTGTAGTCCCAGTCCCACCCCCAGCACCACCCCCAGCCCCTCTGCCGTGGAGTTCCACATCAGGGGAGAGCGCCTCAAAGACAAACTGGTGAGTGTCCACAACAACTTCAACAACAATTCAAGTGTCAGGTTCTATGTAAGGCTGGGTGATATGAATGTTTGTCCACTGATCCGAAGGTTGGAGATGAATACTGCTGTTGTGTCTTGGGCAAGACACTTAACCCACCTTGCCCTCAGTGTCTGCGTACACTGTTTTATGCATGTCTGTGTGAATGGGTGAGTGGTTCCTTGATGTAAAGTGCTTTGAGCGTCTTGAAGGTGGGAAAACGCTGTATAAACATCGGACCGTTCACCATCCTTTTGACGATGTGCTATTTTGTTGATATCGTCAGATTGTGATTCAGTAATTGTGCATTTACTGCAGCTTTAGGCTCAAAAACACACACTGTTCCTAGGTTTGATTCTGTGTAATTGACATGTAGATTTAACCATCATAGTGAAGAATGCTCTCTTAAGAGCAGGAGATGACTTGAGCTCTTAAAGGTAATTAAAAAGAACAAATTACACACATAAAATTATACTCTACGGACAATAAGTTAATAAGCAGACTTTTCCACTCTAAAATATAATAATCAACATATGTTATTCACGTAGCACTAGTGGCAGATACTCTACTGGTGACATTTTACTTTTAAAGCTACTATTTGTTAGCCTGGTTTCACTTTGTGGAAACTATCTGACTTCGCAGTGTTAGAATTCTTTCGCTCGACAGTAGGCGGGTACTTTTTTATTTAACCAGTCGCTGCTATTTGGTCGTGACGTATGTAATGCGCCAAATCCTGTAGGAAGAAGGGCAATAACGTCTTTCCCCTTGACAAAATTCACCAAACATTCTCTTTGTTCCGGCTTTAAATCCTCGATCTCGGGAATCGTTGCCAAACAAAAAATGTCTGTCTTCGTCTACATCCATCTCGACCGCTTTGTTTACTGTTGTGCTGTTTCACAAAAGGGACCCAGACAGTCACTTGAGTTTGAAGTCATGGCTTCACAGCTCTTCGCTGATTGGCCGGTGCGCGGTCTACAACTTCTGGGGTTCTTGCCTAGGTTTTGACCTAGTTGCTGGAGAGTAATGAAATTGAACGGAGGCACTAGGTGTTACCAGCCTGGCTAAACATTTGGAAGTTTATTCGATTTTTGTGGTACTAGTCGATATCAGATGTGAAACCTGTCCCCTTCCTCCTCTCCTTTAGTCTTTGTTTAGGCTCACTGTGCTCTCTGGTCTTCTTCTGTCGGACCAAAGCTGGTACACAATCAGACAGCAGCAGCGTAGATAGCTTCTAGTGGTGATATGTGAGAATACAACAGAGCTGGATCATCCTAATTAACTCAAATCAGTCTAATTAACAATAGCTTTAAGTCTAACACACATTCAGCTCAGTTTCTGTCAAATTCCTTTACACACCTTTACGTTCGAGCTCTCAAACCATGAAGGAAAGCTAAAAATGTTATACAGATCGCCAATGGAAAAGTGGAAAATTGTAGGTGACCTGAATTTTTTTTCTTTTTTTACAATTGTGTTATGATTTTTGACTGCTCATGTCCTTTCGGTGATGGACTCGTGTATTTCCTTGTGTCACGCTCTTCGAAAAGGCAGTTGTGTCATAAAGATTGTCGAAAATCCATAATGTTTGTTCAGGTGTCTTACATCAAGATAAAATGCCCTCCTCCCCCTTGGCCCCTGTTACTTGTGCCCACCCCCCTACACGCACACGCACGTACACACACACACACACACACACACAGACACAGGAAGTGGCGGTTTGGCGTTCCTCCACGGGGCAGGTATCTGAAAATAGGAGCACGCGGCATGATGCATAGTGACATCACCGCGAGAAGGGCAGATTACTCAGGAGTGTGGGAACTGACAAAGAGGAGCTTTTTCCACAAGTACACAACTATTAACCACCTTTCCCGAAGCATTTCCTCTGTCTGTGCTTAATATAAAGGCCGTATGTGTCCGGAGAGAGACGGCTGGATGGAAAATGCCAGATTCCAAAAGGTGTGCGTGTTGCGAGTCATTCCACAGCTAAATGCTTAGAGAGGCATATGGCGAGCAGGCGGACCAATCGTCACGGCAACGCGGACTCAACTGCCCTCTGTTTAGCGAGGACCGGAGATCGTAAAAACGTTTTAGTTCTTTGTGTACTACGTCGTTTGTCAATAGTTTTCTAAATTCAAACTTCTTCAAATCTCTTAACGACTTGGAGATTTTAGTTTGTGTTCCTGCTATGACCTGTGGGTACTTAAAAATTATTATTATTATTATAAATTTTCAGTGTTTTAAGAGTCATTTGAATAAATAGTAAATACCGTGAGACTTGAAAGACAGATATTTTGTTGTAATGCTTTGTAATGATTTTCAATTATGGGATATTTAAATTTCAATGTTGTTTACGTTTATTTATTATTATTATTATTTTTTTTTTTTATGTAGTTTTTTTTTTTTTCTTTTATGAGGTGGATTACCAAAAAAACTCCATCCATCTCCTCCTGGTCCGGTCCTTCTGTCAGATTTTAGAACCCTTCGTGGTCCATAAGTCAAAAAGTTTGCCCACCTCTGTTCTACAGTGTGACCAGAAACCAGATTTTCCTTTTGATTATATTGTACTTACATGAGAAATAAACGTAAATGCACTAATTTTGTACCTGATTATTTCTATTACTGTCCATAGATTGCATTGCATATGGACTGAACCAGGACTGAATCAGGACTAAACCGTTTTCAGCCCTGGTCTGGTCCCAGTCTCAGTCAAGGTCTCAATCACAGTCAGGTCCCATTCTCAGTCCTGGTCCTGTTCCTAGTCTAAGTCCCGGTCTCAGTCCTGTTCCTGGTCTCAGTCCCGATCTAAAGTCCTGGTCGCAGTCCCAGTCTGGTTCTGGTCTGATCCTGGTTCAGTACTGGTTGAGTCCGTATGTGGTGCAAAAGTCCCGCATCACAGTTTAAGTCGCGGAAACCTTTTTTTTCCATTATTCATTTAAACATAAAATCAAAAATTGAAACAACAAATCGTTATCAGTTTTTTCATTTTGGTTTTGGAGACAAATAATGAAGAAAATAGTTGTTTTTTTCCTTTTTTAAATTTGTGGTTTTATTTTGAAAAACGAATGAACGAATGATACACGGATTCTGGACGACTGAGAGATTCTGTTGTCTAAAAAGAGTGTTTTTATTATCATTATGGTATCAGAATTGGTATTGAGTATCAAGGCTTTTCCTTAATATTGAAATCCAAGTTTGAAATTTTAGTATCATGAGAACACTCATCCAAACATAGTCTTCTTAGCTGTCCTCTGACTCATTTTTAGCCTGCTGTCCAGAGCCTTAAAATGGTGTGATGTCACATGAATGCAAGCTGATAAGATCATTCGCTGCACGGCTCAGAGTTGCTTTGCCACTGAAATGCTTAAATGCTCGTTGTTTGCTGTATTACTGGTGACCTCCTTGTCCCGTTTCCCACTGTTGTAGATGTAAAACAGATCCTGTAGATTTAGTGGGATAATCCCGGCTCTGTGGTAATGAGAGTGTAAATCTGTGTGTGAGAAGGAAAAGTCGGGGCTGTGACAGAGGAGGCTGCCACCAGGCCGCCTGCTCACTCCAGACAATTCAGAGGGACGTCTAGGTAGGGCTGAAATAAAAATCCAAACTAGTTACTAGGGGTGTAACGATATTCAAGTCTCACGATACGATATCGTCACGGTATAAACCTCACGGTACGATATTTATTGCGATATCGTGGGAAAGCTCATGATATGGTCGGGAGGCTCACGATTAGAGATGTAAGTAAGTCTTTATATATATATAGTGCTTTTCACAGACATTTTTGTCACAAAGACACTTTACAGAACATTATTCAACATTATTCATTCACTCTACACCTGGTGATGGTAAGATACTGTTGTAGCTACTAGGGATGGGCATGATTAGTCGATTAATCGATAATTGATCATTAAGAATTTCATCGATTATGTTCATTTTAATCGCCAAACCGAATGTAGGTTGCTGTGCGTAGCCTGACCAAACAGGTCTGTACATGTGTCTCTGCATCAGAAGGAGCGAGACACAAAAGGAAACAGTGGGTCAGTCTGCAACGTACCGAAGCACAAATGCGTATTTAACGATGATTTGTACAAGAAATTTCACGCTTTCCGTTGCGTTCGGGACAAGTGTGAGTCCATGTGCACAGTGTACAAAGCAGCACATATGTTTCAGTGTCCAGTGGAAAAAGTTTTGTCAGGTGAGAGTCGCGCAATGTCGATGACGAGTCCCCACCTCCCTCCCCCCGTACGGTGTCCTGGTTTTGACAAACGCAAATATGGTCACACTACTATTCACCTGTATTCACCTGAGTCTGTGTTTAGAGTTGCGCAAAACTGAAAAACACATTATAATGTCAAATGGGCTGATGTGGCTCTAGAGTGGTTACGGTTTATATGTCGTAAAGTTGAATTTATTTATGCAGATTAGTAGTGCAGATAGTAATAATGATGATCATTTTAATATAAAAACGTTAATGATTAATTGATAATCGATCGTTAATTCTTCCGACGATCGATTAAGAAAATTTCATCGAATGCCCATCCCTAGTAGCCACAGCTGCCCTGGAGCAGACCGACAGAAGCAGGTCCCTCTGACCACCACCATCACTCACACATGCACCACTTTCATACTAGGCAATGAGGGTGAAGTGTCTTGCCTAAGGACACAACCGTTTTTGTGACTGGTGCCCCCTGTGGCTCCTGATTTTCCCAGTGTCTCCCATCCAAGTACTAACCAGGCCTGGTCCTGCTGAGCTTCTGAGATCTGACGGGATCAGGCTTTGACAAACCGGTATGCACATTTACACCTGGTTCAATCACAAATTAATCCAATGTTGGTTAATTTCATTGGTATTATGCAAAATAATTCTTCTTTCTCCCCTTTCAACCATGTTATAATGTTGGTCTCTGATCCAAAACATGCTGGAAGAGCTTTTAGATGTCATCCAAGCTGGTGATTTATGGTTAAGCAGTAAGATTCTGCGCAACGCT